AAGGGACCCGAATTTAGAGAACTATCCATATGGAGCTCTGTTTATGAGGTTGTGGGTCTAGGGTTTAGGGGTTTAGGGTTTAGGGTTGTGCTTTTTTTTTTCAGACCTTTCAAGGATCGGCGGGGTCTTAGAGGGACGTTTGAGGGTAGCGTTTAGGGTTCAGGGTTCAAGGGGCTCCTACCGGGTTGTTGTGAGGTCTCTATGGCTCTTATAGGGCATCTACGGTGTTGGAACATGTTTAGAGGCGCTACATGGGTTGTATACGATTCTATCTTACCCAAACCCCTAAGCCCTGACCCCCAAACCCTTATAGAACCCTTTGAAAGTTATCAGAATCCGTATGCAGTCCGCTCCGAACTTATCAGAAAGAACTGAGCGTTCAGCACGAAGCTTTGGAGTGTTTCTATGATGTAAAAAATCTATTCGGGAACCCGACGGAATGACGTCATCAGTTTTCAAAGCATTTCACAAAACCCGCCACTGAACTTTTTCTGAATGCCCAAAGCCTTGTATAGTGCATTTTGAAGCTCTCGAAACCCCGGCAATACCCTAGAAAGACTTAACCCCCCACCCACAGACCCTAAACCCTAAACCCTAAACCCTAAACCCTCCCTAAACCCCTAAAATCCTTCGCCGAGGGCCTCTGTGAAGGCAGTGGCCCGGACGCTGGCGGGCCGGGGCAGGGACGACCCGGCCTCAGGGTTTCGGGTGTAGGGCATATAATTCAATCTTTAGAGCTTTTTTTTCGGGTTTAGGGTTTAGGGTTTCAATCTTTAGGGTTTAGGGCGTAGGGCTTAGGGTGGGCAAGTGAAGCCTTCCTGTTGGCCATCAGAAGGTTTCTTGGGTTTATGAGGGCTCAGGGTTTAGGGTTTGGGGCTTTTTGTGTCTACCCATCGATCACTACTTGGAGGATCATGGGACTTAGTAAGTAAGGTTATAAGTCCCTGAATTGGGGTTATAAGTATAGTTACCCTAATTATAACCCTACTTACTAAGTCCCATGATCCTCCAAGTACCCATCGATCTACCATCAACCACTGACAAGGCCTCGCATTTCTCTCTCCATCTCTTCCTGTCTCTCGACCTCGGGCCATGAGCCACAGACCCGTTTTTCAACGGTTTAGGGTTCAGGGTTTAGGGTTTAGGGTTTAGGATTTAGGGTTTAGGGTTTAGGTTTTAGGGCTTAGGGTTTAGGCTTTCTAGCTTCCTCGAAAGGAAACCTTTCATTTCTGTGGAGGCCCATGGCCATCGGAGTGACACTGCTCATAATCCTGCTTCTGGTTTAGGGTTTGGGCTTTAGCTAGGGTGTAGGGGCATCGGAATGACAGTGCTCATAATCCTGCTTAGGCCCAACGGGAATCCAAAGATGCCGAATGCTAATCCTACACACATCTCCCCTGACTATCGTCGAAAACCTTGAGCAACTGTAGTTTCACTGGGAGGCCCGCTAAGGAGATGTCCCCAATGATGGCCGTCGCCCGAAGCTTGCCGATCACCACGGAGCTGCATGAGGCTGTGTCTCTTCTTTGTTTGCAAGCTTTGTGGCTCTGGCCATGGTCATCAATCATCAACAGCAACAGCCGCATTGCAGGAGAATGTTCATGTCCTAAGGACCCTTACGGGGGGCAGGGGACCCCCCTTCCACTTACCATCCTAAGGGTCCCTATGGTCATGACAATGAAAACAACAGCAGCCGCAGCAGCATCGTCAACACGTTTCCTGCAACAAAAGCCCGAAGCGCCCAAGAGCCCCCAAAAGCCCTGAACCGTTTACCCCCAAATCCTGAAACCATCAGAGCTCCAATATATAGGGCCTGGGTACGTACAATAGGGTTGTGGGGTTCAGTATGCTATGATTACATGGGGGAAGCCGCAGGAACACTTTTCTACTATACCCTACACCCTAAACCCTAAACCCTAAACCCTAAACCCTAAACCGTGGACTTTCTGAGGCCCCTAGACTACACCCGCCCGTGTCAAACCCACCGGCCTCGGCCGTCCTGTGCTAGCCACGCACTTCTCGACCTTGCCAGAAGGCTGTTTCCGTGCGGGTTTAGGGTTTAGGGCTTAGGGCTTATATGGGTAGTTCCCTAAACCCTAAACCCTAAACCCTAAACCCTCAACCCTCAACCCTGAACCCTAAACCCTAAACTCTAAAATTGGGTCCCCTCCAGGCTCCTTTTCTTGTGAGGGTGCCGTCCTGTACTTTTGGGACCCAAAGAGAGTGGGTTTAGGGTTTAGGGGTTTAGGGGTCAGGGGTTTAGGGGTTTAGGGGTTTAGGGGTTTGGGGGAGACCCCGGTTAGGGAACTACCCAAATGGGCATTTGGCCAGAGAGCATCTCGGACGTAAGTGTCTGTCGGGGCTTCGGGCTTCTGTAGGGTTTAGTTAAAGGAAGCTACAGGTGGGGAGTTTAGGGTATATAGGGCTTCAAGAAGGCGTCTATAAGGTATATAGACCTTCTATAAGGCTACCCACCTGAAAATGTCCTAGACTTAGGGTTTGGGACATATTTGCGTCAGGGGGTCGTGAGGTTGAGGGTTTACCCTAGCTCTAAACTCCTGAACATGGATCCTAAAGCCTAAACCCTTAAGCCCTAAACCCGGAAACCCGAAAGCTCAAAACCCTACGTAAACCCGAACGGGTTCCTTTCAGGATTTGAATTCAGGGTTCCTTTAAAGGCAGCCTCCAAGGCCGGCACCACAGCCATGCCTTCCTCGATGAGCACCAGATCTTCGTCTTCCTCGCCTTCCTGGATGAAGACCTGGTCGGTTTAGGGTTTGGGGGGTTAGGGATTTGTGCGGGTTTATGTATTTTGTGTTTTTTTTGGGGGGAAGGCTAGGGTTTAGGGTTTACGGGTAAGGGTTTCGGGGTTTAAAGACTTTCTGTAGGGTCGTGGGGATTTTACTTCTAAGTTTTAGGTCTGCCAATGATCGTGAGGGGATAGTGATCAAAGTGGCGGTAGTACCAGCCGCACCGCCATGATACGAAACTTGCAAAAACTGTACTAGCCATTTCTACCGTTCTTCAGGCGATACTGGCATTATACTCTTGCTGTCATCATTATTGCTAGTAGTCTTATTGCCATTCTTACCAGTATCGTAGCCGTCGTCGTCGTCGTCGTCGTCGTAGTCGTAGTCGTAGTCGTAGTCGTAGTCGTAGTAGTAGTAGTAGTAGTAGTAGTAGTAGTAGTAGTGGCAGTAGTGGCAGTGGCAGTGGCACTAGTAGTTGTGGCAGTGGTCGCCGTAGCGGGTAGCGGTAGCGGTGGCGGTGGTGGTGGCAGTGATGATATAAACCCCACATTATTATGGATAAGGAATATATCATAATTCCCCATAGTCTAGGGTCCTGAAGGTCATGCAGGATTTATATCACCAAC